CTATGGCTATGATCCTGAGACAAAGATTCAGAGTTCTCAGTGAAAAAAATCTCTCAATTCTCATGAGGAAAAAAAGAGCATACATCAAGATTTAGTATCATGATAATGTTGATTGTCTTTTTTCCACGATGGAATTGTGCAAGCTGAGTTTGTACCCAGAAATGCCATGGTGAATTCTGAATGTTCTAAGGGTTTATTAGAGCATTTAAGAAATGATGTGTGCACAAAAAAAAAGAAGAAGAAAAAGAAAAGAAATGATGTGTGCAGAAAATGGCCCGAGAAATGGAACAGTTTTATCCTCATCATGACAGAGCTCCGTGTCACACACTGCTTCTGGCACAGCAATTTCTGGCAAATAAGAACATGATGGTGTCCTCCTCCACCTTATTCACCAGATCTGGCACCATGTTCTTTTGGCTCTTCCCCGAAGTAAGAATAACCATGAAAGGAAAACATTCTGAATTGATTCAGGATATTGAGGCTGCCATGACAGCACAACTAAAGACACTCACAAAAGAGGACTTCCAGAGCTGCGTCAGAAAGAGGCAGTGACAGGAGAAGTGTGTCCGAAGTGAAAGGGAGATTCTGAGGACTAATGTCTTTTAGTGAAATACATTTTTTAAAAAGGTCAAACATTCACTATAGTTTTTTATCACATTGTGTAGGTTAAATGAGGTGACAAAGGTGGACTCTAGAGTATATGATGTCCTGTTAGAAGAGACACCAGAGCCCACTCTCACTCTCTCTCCCTTCCTCTGGCCTCTACCACTACAGGAAAACAGCTGTGAGAGGACATGGGGCGAAGGCTGTGGGTTTCAAGCCAGGAAGGGAGGCTTTACCAGAAACCAACCCTGATGTCGCCTTGCTCTTGAAATTCTGGCCATTGGAACAGTGAAAAAGTAAATTGTCTGCTATTTAAACCATCTGTTCTGTGGTGGCCTGGGCAGAGCTCTGCAGCTAATAATAAAAGCTGACAGCCTGAGAAGACTAATACAATTTATCAAAATTAATACAGTATAACTCAGACATTCTATTATTCCTTGTATCCACTTTGGTAAACTGTTTTTGAAAGAAAATAAAACACTTAAATGTCAAATATTTTGAAATAAATATTTATTCTTAATGTGCTGTTATTATTTTTACTGTTTTAAGGCCCATGATCATGTTTCATTTCTGATATTTATACTTTGAGTTTTGTCTGTTTTTTGGTCAGTGTATCTTAATGTTTATCAATTGTATTTATTTGTTCAAAGATCCAGTTTTGGCTTTTATTCTTTTCTGTATAGTGCACATTTGTTTTCAATTTTATTGATTTCTCCTTCTGATTTCCTTACTCTCTGTTCTTCTGTAGATGTTGGAGAAAGCCTCAGTGATAAAATTGCTCTAATATGAAGTTAACTGCTATTCAGACAAAGGGAACTATCATCACTTTTACCCTTATTCTCCAGTATGAATAGAAAGCCAAAGATCACTAGAGATCTAAGGAATGACTATTAAAACAAAGATAGTAAGAAAAGATAATTTTTTTAAAAAAGACTAAAAACAACATCTGGAAATATACAAACAATGTAGGGAACAGAAGACTTTTTTTAAATCCTTAAGATTCTTAAGAACTACAATAAGACAATGAATGCATCCCTGAAACCAAAGCAGCATATTGTAAATGGACAGTAAGAAAAAATGTAAAGTAGAAATATCACGGTATAGTCAAAAGACTTTATGCGAAAAGGGGCTGGAAAAAGCTTCTAGAAACTAGAACAAAAATATTAAAACAAGAATCAAAGGGGAAAAGAGAAGAATTTAGATTATTTCAGGAGAATGACTTTCAATTATAATTCAAATATGAGAGATGTGTGGCATTTTTAACATCCACAAGTTACTAAAAGAGTCATCATTTCTTTCCATAGTATTTCATACAGCTGTAACAAATTACTACACTTAAAGGCTTACACCAACACAAATTTACTGTCTTTCAGCTCCAGCAGCCAGAACCCTGAAGTTGGTTAGGTCAGCAGGACTATTCTCTCCGAGGCTCTGGGGAAGAATCTGCTTCCTGGTCTTTTCCAGCTTCCAGCAGAACCCTGCATTCTTTTGCTCATGATTCTTTCTAACTTCCAAACCAGCAGTGTAGATAGAATATTCTCCCCTCTCTGACCTCTTTTCTCTCTCTTATTAAGCCTGGATGGGAGGCCATCCAGGTAACCCAGGGCAGTTTTCCAATTTTAAGATCCTTAATTAGAGATGCCATTTATTTTGCCATATAAGATAACACATGAGTTCTGGAAATTAGGATGTTGACATAGTTGACCTATCTGGTGGGGTGTTTCTCCGTCTCACACAATCTCATTTGCATTTTCCCAGGAAGGTTCTGGAGGAAGCTTGTTCATAAAAAGAAAGGATTAAACACTGACAAAGGAGAAAAAGGGATCCAACACAGGAGAGCAGTACCGAATTGGTGAAAACAACCCATACTAATAGTGTAGAGGTCAAAATGCTCTAGAAGGAAACCCAATCTGCTAGATCAACTGATGTCTTTGACTGTGATATTTTATGATTTTGTAGAACAAGGACAAATTACTAATAATTATAATTAAGGAAACCAAAAGGTTATATTAAAAGTTAATGGGGATCAAAGTCAGCTCCTTACGCTTGCGAGGCAGGAGGCAGAATCAGTGAGCCAAATCCCCAGCCCAACACTAAATTTTTTAACCTACAACTATTCTATCACTATACTGACAGATGAAGGCACCAAGAAAAGTTGTGTGAATAGGGAGACAAGGTTGGGGGTGGTATTATAAAAGAACCAATTATATCGTTGTCTTCCAAAGGAAAAAGTCAGTGGATAATGTCTAAAATTGAAAAATGAAGAAATTGCAATATAAGCATATTTAGACATATGGAATAAATAACAGAAGAAATATTCAAAAGAACATTAGAACTACTAAAAACAAGGAAATCTGTATCCTTGAGTCTAACATTTCATCTGATTAGGGACATTCATATTGGATCTTTATTTTAGAAATGTTTATTTTATTAAACCACTGATAGCTGGGGTTTTGTTAGAGCACTAGATTCACTAAATTGGCTTTTTAAAAAATGGCTACAAATTCTTTGACAATCTTTTGATTGTCTCCTCTCCTTTAAGTGACCAGGCCTTGGCTTCTCACCTGTAGGCAAAAGAATGTGAGGAAAAGTCTTACCGGAAGCCTGGCCAAAGACCTGGATCTGGGCCCTGATTATCTACATTTGTTTACCTGGGCCCCAACAAGAGTAAAAGTAAAGAGCATAAAAATGGAAAAGTGAGTTTATTCACAATTTACCCAAATTGGGAGGGAACCCCCACCCCACACAGGAAGATGTTCTGGCCCATTGGCATGCCCAGAAAATACAGCAAGTCTGCTTCTGTTGAAACTTCCTTTGGTGCCAGGGTTGGGAATAGCAGTTATTGCTCTCAGAATGTGGAAGCTGGAGAAATAGCTTAGCTTTAAACATCTTTTTAATTTTTATTTTTTATTAGCATTGCTTGAAGTACATAATGATTATATTCCTCACGGGGCACTGGCACATATACACAACATGTTCTAATTCTTTTTCATCCCCTCTGACTCCTTGCCTCCATCTCTCGGTTCCCTTCCCTTTTGCAAAAGATCTATCTCCCTACTTCCTATTATCTACCTTTTATTTTGCTCTTTATTTATATTATGGGTTTCTCAAGAGAAACCATGCGAATATTTAACCTCTGTGTCTGTTCTACTTCACTTAGCATTATGGTCTCAAGGTGCACCCATTTTCCTACAAATGACTCAAGTTTATCCTTCTTTATGGCACAGCAGTGGTACATTGCGTAAAAACCACATTTTCTTTATCCATTCACATGTTGATAGATATACAGGGCCACTCCAAATTCTAGCTATTATGAATTGTGCTGCTACACAAATGGGTATGTGTATATCACTGTAACATGTTGTCTTCTAATTCTTTTGGGACCATACCTAGAAGAACAGCTGGGTCAAATGGAATGTCCAGTTTTAGTTTTCTGAGAAATCTACACACTGATATTTTTTCCATGTATTTATTGGCCATTTGTACTTCTCCTGAGAACAGTCTATTCATTTCAGTTGTCCATTTTTAACTGGGTCTTTTATTGGGGGGGTCTAATGTTTCTCAGTTCTTTATATATTCTAGATATTAGTCCTCTGCCCCAGGAATAGCTGGCAAAATATTTTTTTCCCACTCTGGAGGTTATCTCTTTACTCTAGTGATTGTTTCCTTTGTGTGCAGAAACTTCTTAATTTAAAAATCCTAATTTTGAAAGCTCCATTTCAAATTCTCAAAGTAACACTGTTAATCTTGGAGGCTGGGTCAAAAGGTGGCAGTTCATGGCAGGAAGCTCCAGCTCCATGGAGAGGCTATGGACAGGAGCTCTGCTACCAGGAGCAAACCTGGTCTTCCTCGCATCACAGCAACTTTGATCTACTGGCCCTACTAACCACAGAACCGGCCAATAACAAAATGGTTGTTTCAAGCTGCCGCGTTTTAGTACTCTAGTAAATACACTCAAGTACTTTTAATCTGTGCCACTGAACTGCTTTGATACAACTAAGAGCTCAATTTAAAAAGGAAGTGGGCATGAACTATTTATGGCTTACAGACTTTGTCACTGCTGCTTTCTCTACCTACAAAGTTCATCCTCCCCCTAAATCAGTGACTGTCAAACTTTTCAGAGTACTGTACAAGAAATACATTTTACAGACACAAAGCAGTGCACGCACATGCACATCTGTAGAATTAAACGTTCTATAAAGCAACGCCTAACTTTATTCTAAGTGCCACGCACTGACATTTCCACTCTGCGTTACTTTACTATCTAAAAAGTGTAGTTTTCCTTAGATGTCCTTGCTCAGGGGCCCTCCCCGACTGCATCCTACACACTACCCTCTGCAGTTGAAGACTATCGTCCTAACCCGTCACCACAAATTTTCTCTTGTGGAAATCCTTACCATTTGTTAAAGTATTCACGTTGTATCTTATGGATTACACTTGCCAGAGCAGGGTCCTGTCCTTTAGGCCCCGCTTGCTAAAACCACAGCTCACCATTCAGTATTTGACTCTAACTCTTACACCTGCAGACACGCGCTCCTTCCCTTTGGGCTTCTTTGGGGCTGGGGCACCAGAATTAGCTTCACAATTTACCCACCTACAATGTTTCGTTTCAGGTGGCTTTTGTAATTACTATAAGGCACGCGCAAAACTGAACAGAGCTCACAAAAGTAACCGGACCAAATTCTCATCACAGCACCGCCAGCGGCCACTTCAGTCTAGCTCAGCCCGCCGGCGTACCCGACCGTTACCTTCGCTCCGCGCCTGCGCAGCGCGCGGCCCCAGCAACCACCCTAGCAACGGCCTGGCACCGCCCACTGGTGTCTCCCAGAAAGCGCTCCGCGGGTCCGTCCCGGTCCTGTCC